CGTAATGTTTACTCTTTTTATTAGTTTATTTCTGTTTATTTATTTAAGGTTTTAGGAATTTAATTATAATAATAATCGTAATAGGCATAGTAATTAATTCACTTTATACCTCCGTTGTCTATTAAAGAAGTGATTAAACAGTTAGACATCACGTCTCTATAGTTTATGTTGTATTCATCAAACAAATTTTGAAATTAATTAAACTTCAAGCTATCTCGTGTTTAATAATGTTATCAATTATGATATTTCCTGTATTATTATGATGTTCTAAGCACCTCACTCAATGAATCCGAGGAAAGTTTTAATTGGTCAAAAATAAATTAGTTGACATTTTAACGCCCCTTTTTCATAATTTGTTTGGTTAAAATTTAAAATCCGCGATATAGGAAACACATTAATTGATCACATTATCCATTATTATTGTTGTTACTATGCATAGAAATAAACATATAGGAATATAGTTCACCTTTTACACATCCTCTAGCATGGTGTAATCTCCTTAAAATCTTTGCAATTTATTGATAAATTAAGTTCTCTAATTAGCATGATTCCTATAACCTGGCTCATTTCTTGAACACTCGTAACTTGTCGAGACCAATTTGATTGTGTTTTTTTACATTATCCCTCCACCTCTCTTAGTAAAAAAAAAAAAAAAAATTTTAAGTACATATATAAGGCCACGCAAAGTTAATTTTTCGTTTTGCATAACATGGAATCTGAAAAATTGGGTCGGCGGGCGGAATTTTTTTTTTTTTTTTCTGTCGGTCCTATCGGATAATTGCGGGATTAATCGGGTGACACCGGATAAATTTATGAAAAAAATTAAATAGCAAAAATCGAATAATTGGAACAATTAGAACATAAAAAAATTTTTTTGAAAAATTAAAAAAATGGGTCGGCGGGTTATGCAAAACGAAAAATTAACTTTGCGTGGCCTAAATTTTTATAGTCGCTGCTATTTTCGAAAAATTTTACAGTAAAGTTGAATAAAAAGCTGGGAAATTTCCGAGGTAGACAATAAACGAACCTAAAATACATAAAATACGAGCGTGGTCAAGCAAAATTTAGTGGAAAGGGCCACAAAACTCCAAATAGAAAAAAAATCGTGATCCAATCGTGATATAAGAGTTGGAGAAAAATCTATATATATACAGTAATATGATAAAACCCGCCCACCCCCTCTTCCTCAGGAGGAAGAGGGAATAATGTAAAACACCAAATCAAGTTGGCCACGCCTTAAGGTGTAAATCACATATGATCTAATTGCTGCATTATTCTGTACTTAAATGTTGCTTACAATAGCGTTATAAAAGAGTACCTTTAGTAATTATAAATGATCCTGAATTTAAACTAAAAATCCATTAGCACTTACACCTGTACTAAATATTCGTTTTATTTATGTCCCAGCATTTAAGAAAACTTCTATATCTGCTATGTCTTTTCTATCAAATGGTCCTCGAGCTGTGCTGTCACAGTCTTGGAGTCATGACCCTAACTGAAAACACAAAGGTGCTATGCGGCCGTGGTCCTCGAGATGTATTACCACAATCCTGAAGCCATAGTTTTTAATTTAATTTTCGGGTGAGTGGGTTGGGACGAGAGAGCTAGCCTAATAGCATATATCAAAACAAAAAATATAAACTTTTATTTTTCACGATCATTATAAATACTTCTTATGCACATGACATGCGTCATAGGAATTTAACTCACAAATAAGTTGTCCTAACGCTTTACACGTAATTTCGCGATAATTCTAGTTTTGTCACTTCATTGACAAGCCAGTCATTCCTAGAGATGCGATCCGGATCAGACAAACCCGGGTCATCCGGATGAAGACACAACAAACCGGGTGAAAGCGGATGCGGTATATACATAAAAAAAGCCAATTGGCACAGTAAAGAGCCAGCCAGTTAAATTGCCGCATTTTTAGTGTAATAGATCTATTGTGCAAAAGTTTATGAAAAGGCTATTCTTGTCAACCGATAAATCCTGACAAGAAATATAAAAAGGCTCCGGATATAAATTTATAAAATAAAACAAATAGTTAGATATTTACATAGATATTTTTTTATGTATATTCAAGTTAGTGTATAACGTTTTAAATTGTCATGAGACTAATTTTATGTTCCAACCAAAGTTTCATCCTGGAATGTGATCCATACAATTATTAGTCAGGTTTTTTAAAGTTTTAAGATATTTTATATCGTTCATGTTTAGTAAACGTGATTTTACTGAAAACGACAGAAGGTTTTCAATACATCCATATCTTTGAAAATGCTCGAGAACCCGACTTATAGAAGATAGGCTAACACCTAAATGTCTGGCAATTTTCGAAATGATTAACCTTCTAAATTTTTTCAATTATTTACTAGCGAAGAACGCATATCAATATATATCAATTTTATTGAATTTATTATGCCGAAATCACTAAATTCCCTAAAAATTATTCGGAAAATTTTATTAAGTGCTTCAGGAATTATGAAAACAGCTATAAGAAAAATTATAATAATTAACCCGGATTCATTCGGATACCGGTGAAGTTTTGCATCCGGATCGTATCTCTAGTCATTGCTGTGGCACAAATAGCGACTTTAGTTTATATTTCCAATAAAAAAATATTATATAATTTTTTTTATAGGGTTTTTGAATGAGTCAATTAAGTTTGCATATCTAAGTACGTATATACATTAGAGATGGGTGACGAAATTGACGAAATTTGACGAAATACGTCACTATGAAAATAATTTATCACTTATAATTTCGTCAATTTCGTCATTGCGAAAATAATTTTGTCACCCATCTATGTATTAACTGCATAAAAGATAATAAGTGATCAGGGGTGTCATTGAGAAACTTAACACTTATGACCCTTATTTTTAGCAAAGAATTAATAGATTTTTTTGGTAATTTGTGAAATGTTTATCCTACGATTATCGAAACTTAAACTTCTGAAGTGCTATCTTGTTTAACCTTTAACTAAGCAACAATATACTTTGTATAAATTTTTCGGCATCTAGTCTTATCTCTACTACTATATGTACCAAATAAATCTCACAAACGACAATATCACCAGATATGCACCAATAGCTTATTATAATAAATACCAGCTAAATTTGTACTTAATAACAGATTTTTGAAAATATTTAAATTGAATATCCGTGTTTTACCGTATTTGCGCGTAATAACGCACATGTACGTTATTTCGAAATCGCCATTTTTGAAAATTGTTTTTTGACTCCAAATAACGCTCATGTGCGTCCTAAAATAACGACTCCTTAAATATACATATTCATTAATAAAAGCGGGTTACCCGAATTTATCAAAATGATTCGAATTACCGCGCACATGCGTCCCGAAATATCGCGCATGTTATTATGCGCAAATGCGGTAAAAATTAAGGAGAGAAAACAAGCATCATGAAGTCCATGTCCGGAATGTGTAAAATTATTTTATTTAAAAATTTTGCCTATGAAATCGCTCTTGATTCTCTAAAAAAATTCTACTCATAATTTTGGTATAAATTTTGCCTAAATCTCCTAACTTTTCCTAATCTACATCAGCAAGTTGTTTTGTTATAAAACTTTATGTAGCTCTATAAAGTTAAATAGATATTATATAAAATTTTATATAGGTTTACAAACTCAATGTAAACTTATATAATAAGATATAAACCATGTAATTTTTATATACAATTTTATTTATTATTTATATAAATATAAAGTCTATGCAAATTTTATTTATATTTTAATCAAAATAATTTAATTTACTTCAGCCATTTCTCAAAAGTGACTAAGGTAATCACCGATCGTTGTACTAAGTAAAAATATCCAAACCCCTAATTTAAGCTTTAAAATCCTAATCTTAGCTTTAACATTGAAGTTAAAATCTTTTTGCCATTTAAATAATTATGCATAGAAATATATATAGATTTTACATAATCTACATTGGGTTTGTAAAGTTTTTGTAAACTTACATATAAAAATTCTATATAATTTTAAATAAAACAACTTCGTGATGTAAACCTAATATTAAAATCTGTTTATCACTGTTTATAACAAAATCCTGTGTCACCGTAAAAGTTAAAAAAAACCCCCAAAATTCTGTCCCTACACGATTAGCATCTAATTGTGAAATCGATTGCTGAATCGATCTTCATACCCCTGCATTTCCAAAATTTATAATATTTTTTGAGATGCAGGGGTATATCTAAACCACCCTATCGTCATCATCACCCTAAAAAAATTCGCTATCGGGCCAAATTAAAATCTAAGATCAGGTGTACATAAAATCAAAACAAAAATACTTCAAGCCCTAACCTTAACACTGGTATCGAATTTTTTTTAGGGTGGTGACGTTAGGTTTTATATACCCAAATCGATTTATGCCAATTGAGTTGGGACACAGAAGTTTAAAAACGCGATGATTTAGACTGATGTTGGTCAATTAGCGTATTGTAACCTGTCACACATCCCGGTCTTACTATGAAATCCTTCATTTTTGCCATTCTCTTTATTTTTTTTGCACTTTTACTTAACTTTGTAAATGCTCATTTTAAGCTTTTAGTACCACCATCTAGAAGTGGTGGACTCTCGGGTTTTGATGCTCCATGCGGTCAAAATTTTACTGCGGTTAATCAGACCATTAGCACTTTTCCTAGTGAGTTTACAAATTAATCGCCGTGTAAAATTATCTTTTTTGCATCTCTAACAGTTATTTGCTTATTATTATAGTAAAGGGTAATGTTATACTTGAAATGATCCATGCCACTAATGGTACTTTGTTCTTCTATTATTCTACCGATGGTACTAATTTCACTCAAGTGGCGGGTAATTATATGATTTTCTATCTCTTACGCATTATTTAGATTTATACTGATTGCTTTATTTTCAATGCAATCTACAATCAATAAAGACTCAAAGACATATAATATTACTAATGAAAAGGATGGAAATATAACAACTTTTGTTGACCTGTCCAAAGCCGGTGCAAATGTTGGCAGTCAGGGTGTTCTTCAATTAGTTTATTTTCACTCAGTTTATCCTCAAAACAATGATACTTCTACGACCAATGTAACATTGTACGAATGTGCTGATATTAAGATCACTGCAGAGAGTACTTCCCCAAGCTCTGTCATTACTGCAAGCAAAAATGCTGGTTCCATTAATGCTCCTCACGTAATGTTTACTCTTTTTATTAGTTTATTTCTGTTTATTTATTTAAGGTTTTAAGAATTTAATAATCGTGTTAGGCATAGTAATTAAGTCACTTTAAATCTATTAAAGAAGTGATTAAACAGTTAAACATCATGTTTTATAAGCTTATGTTGCATTCATCAAACAAATTCTAAAATTTTATTGAAATCAATTTATCTCGTGATTATTAATTTTATCAATTATGGCATTTCCTGTGTTATTATTTTCTAAACACCTCACTCAATGGAACCGAGTCAAAGTTTTAATCATGAACTTGACTCAGTTATTTTACTCTATAAAAA